AAACATTTTGGACTGATATCAAGGTTTGATCAATTGCAGGACAGTGTTTGCATGCACTTTAAAAGTTTGATTTCAGTCGGTCTAAAGCAATATTTTTTTTTTTTATATCAAACATTTTATTCTAAATGAAAAAAAAAGTACCAGTCTGGTTTTTGCAAAATCTCAAAAACAGACCAAGACAACATGATTTTTAGCTTGGCTTCAACCAGCATGTATACACATTAATCAGGCTACAAAGTAGCCTCAGCATTTTGTGCTTAATCCAAAACACAGTGACCAGACAATTTTTCACTGTGCATGTAAACATTCTTAATGGTTTGGACATCATATATCACCCTCAATGGATATAACCTCTTTCTAAATCAGGGTCTTGAGTTGCATATGATTCTGTTGCAAGGTTTCATGGAGCCCTAATGCTACTGGTCCAAAAGGGGCATAATTTCATAGAACTGCCTTAGAGTTAACTGGAGCAATATATCCTCCAATTATAATGAGAACAAATATTCATTCTTTTGAAATGGAAGCACCACAACGAATTACTCCAGTTTCTAGAGGCTTGCAAAACAACCCTCGGCTTCTTAAATTTGCTGAGAAAAGAGCCTCAGGCTTCCTCTCAGCAGCAAATGGTATATTCATCCCCCAGTACTCCCCCTCCAGTGCTCTTACGTACTTCACAATTACTGCAAAGAGCCTGTTGTCTAAAAATTGGATCTTTGAAACGGTGATTGATTCCTGAAGAGGAAAAAAAAATAATAGACATATGTTTGGCAGGGGGCAGTGATTCGTAGGCAACATAATAGCGTTATGCTTCTCCACAAAAATCATAAATAATTGTGAACGGCTATAATTGCACATTACAGTTATTTTAAGGAATATTGGGACGGCTGGGTGCTGTTTCGTAACACTTAATGCCGTCCTTTACACTCAAGTGGACCCTCTCGAATCTATCAAGCCTGGAAATGCCAAACTATAAGGCTCAATGCACCACTGAACCGTAACTTTGCAGTTTAATGGAAGGGAAGAAAAAAATTGTTTTACAGTGCAAGATCAAAGGAATTTGACAACCAAGCAAGCCCAACAACACTAGTGTAGCATCTATAGTCGAAGTGCATAAATGGTAGGTTTGCCGAATAATGATTTAATAAATGACCTTCTCGAGTCAATTTCCTGATCAATAAGAGATAAAAGTGAACTGGATTTCATTGCCTCAAGCTTGAGAATCGTTTATTTGGTTTCAGTCTAAATCAAAAAACATAATTCACTATGAAATGGTACACCAGTCAGCTGATATAATGTGACATTTGACAATTATTGGCTCAATCATTACCATTAATAACTTTAAAAGGAAAATGTCAAACATATTTATAAGTGCCTTGCAAAAACATTTTAGCTAAACTCGATTTTACCGAATTAAAAATCCCACAATGACAAAAGGAAACATTCCATTTACAGAAATATATAGTCCCTGTAATGCACAAGCTTACAAGTTTACATTGAAGAATTAAAAAATGCCTTAATGAGGACACAGCTGCTTTATAAATTGGACATTCTGTACAAAAACTTCACAGTGGGCACTGCTAGTATAATAATTATGATGCGAAGCACCATCAAAGCACTGCCTGAAAATGACGGTCCCATCAATCTCTGCACAGACCAAGTGGCCTTATATGAGAAAAATCTTAAGTTCTTTTAACATGACAATTACACCAAAAATATTAACAATAGAGTGAAGTCTTCTTAAGTTTCACATATTGTACATTTTACACCTTCAAATTTTAACAATTTGAATGAAAAAATTGTGAAAATTTGACATGACAGTAAAATTGCAGTCTACTACAGTGGTATCTTTAAATAGTCATGAATGGAACATCTAATAAACATTTAAACTAATCAACTGAAAAACATTCAGTTAAAAGGCCTGTGCCTTTGGACCATATTGACATGACATTGGAGCATAGACTTGTTGCCTCCATGAACTCAAGGAAACAAGAATGCATGATAGGCACATTACTGCCTGGACTCAGACTACATTTATTTGATCAAAAATTCAGTAAAACAGTAATATTACTAAAAATAATGGTTTCCTGTTTTTATATATTTTAAAATGTAATTTATTCCTGTGACGCACAGCTGAATTTTCAGCAGCCATTACTCCAGTCTTCAGTGTCACATAATTCTTCAGAAATCATTCTTATCATTCTTATAATATTATCAGTGTTGAAAACAGTTGTGTTGCTTAATATTAATCTGGAGTTTTTTCTGGATTTGATCAAGTTGAAAAGAACAGCATTTATTAGAATTTTTTTTTGACCAATTTAATCCATTCTTAAGAAATTACATTAAAAAAATAAACTTTTAAGCACTTGTGTATACAATACCTGCTGTAACTGCAAACTGGCTTATAGCAACACTTCTTGCAATAGTACACACAACATTCACCTAAAACTTTTTGCGATGCAATTCAGGCTACACACAGTGAAAAATACACCATAACCTCAGCCGTTCAAGACAAGATCAGCCTGTTGCTCTCTTTTTCCTTTCCTTTAAAGTGTTCCCATTTTCAAAGCCAGGAAACAGTTTTGTGGAACGATGATAGAAAAATTGATTGTGAAATCTATTTAGTGCGGCTATCGATTTCCCCGTAAGGGGAAGGAAGGCAGACCGTGTGAGTAAGATAATGGAATATGGAACGGGGGAGCAAGAGCCCAGAAATGGGAAGTGACACTGGTTAATGGAGTAGAACTGGGCTGTTTTAGGTGGGGCATGAGAGTGTGTGCACATATATTTGAGTGAGAGGTCCCCACATCTACGATAACACATTTAGCTCAGCATTTCAATTCACCCATATTAACGGAACAGTTGATGCAAAAAATTTAATTTGGTCATTATTAACTCAATCTAATATCGTTCCAAATCTGTTAGCGGTTATTTACCCACAGAACACGAACATTTCTTTTTAATCAGTTTGGAGGGAAGTCAAACAGGTTGGAAAAAAATTAAGATGAATTTTAAAAAGCAGATGAAAAATAATTGTTGGATGAACATTTTTCTTCTAAACGGTCCTCACGCCAATTTATTATTGAATAGGAAGATTTCCATTTAAAATAAATACTGTTCTTTAGAACTTTCTATTCATCAAAGAATCCTGAAAAAAAAGTTTTTTGGTTTCCACAAAAATATAAAGCAGCACAACTCTTTTCAAAATTGATAATAGTAAGAAATGTTTCCTGGGAATCAAATATAATATCATGTATTGAATGATCATGTGACACCAAAGACTTGAATAATGGATGATGAAAACTATTAATAACTAAAGTTATTTAATACATTCATATTTAAAAGTTATTTAATAATGTAAGATATTTAAGTTTTTTTTATTACTACATAAATGCAGTCTTGGTGAGCATACTGACCCGAAACGTTTGGTTACGTATAGGTGAAAGGTGTATTCTTACTGCCTGCAGCAGCACTGTTGTAAATCCCCAGACCTCTTCAATTCCTGTTTCACATCATTGGACAGACACAGATTTGGTCAATGACTTATATTGAAACAGGAAGGAAAGTCAGTCTGGAAGAAAGGCCCAGAGCAGTGAACACACACAATATTGACTAAACAATGAGCAGTTCGACAGCAGAGAACACGTCACTGCTACAAAAGTGACTATCACTTCATTTAAAATCATTCACAGTTATTTAAATTGTCTGGCCATAACTACTGTATAATAAGTGAACACAATGAGCTGTCATTCCTCCTGTGTGACTGCGGTATATGACTCATTGTACATGCAGAACTAAGCTGTGTCATTAGCAGTCAATGCATCAAGCTATTTCAGGATTTCTAATAAGTATTTATCATTGGGAGAATCTTATTTAATGAAATTCACATTATTGTCTCTGCATACATGACAGCAATGGATGACTACTATTTGAGCCTGGCTGCTCCAACAAAATTAAAAGTAAATAAAATAAAATGCAATAGCCTGAAAATTCTACCAGGAAACCTGGACACATGTGGTCAAATCATTCTTTCATGCATTGTCAATACCAGTTTCTCAACTGCCACATCTTTCTTGGAGCCAGATATTGTAAACAATGCTGGAGAAAGTCAAGAGTGAAAAAAGAGAGTGCTCATAAATATGTCAGTTCGGTGCCTACATAAACTAAAGATAGCATGTAAAGGAGGAGAGATGATGAATAAACCATAGAAAGAAAGACTGAGAGGAGGAAAATAAACAGTTTTTTTTCTTCATCATGAGATCAAAAATCATGGCAAATGCAAAGAACATGTAAAACTGAAGCTTGAAATGACAAGGGCATCTAATTGCCTCATCCTTCTACAAGCACATTGAGTCGTTTATGTGTGAACCTCTCAGCGACCAGCTACTGTCAGTTTAACAAATCTAACCTGATGGTAGGCCCATTACGGCGAAGGCCTGAGATGGTGAGAGATTAGAGGTGCGATTAGAGGAAGAACCCAATTACTCCTCAGCATGGAGACTGACCCGAGACACTTCCGTTATTGATTTCCAATTACATCACTGCGTCTTCCATTGGACAAGCCTGATAGACAGAAACAAGCAGAATTTCATGCAGAGTTCTTGTGGTCACACAAGCTTCAGACACATTAAATGCACATGAACAGCAACATTTCAATGCACAGAATATCTATTAGGGGAAAAAAATGCTTTTATCTGTAGAGAATATAAACAATTTATATGAAGGCTGGGTTATTCAAAAACTTCAAACACCAGTGTCAAAAGGCAGCAAAGCATCATGTTACCACTAAAGATTTCAAATGATCATTTAGAAACTGAAAGGCAGTTACTGACTCCTTGTGGTAGTAAAAAGAAAAACCTTACCTTTTTTCTTTGGTAACCTGAAATGTATGCTACAATAGATTGCATGGCAAAGACTGTTAAAAATTGTGCAAAATAAGTCTATTTATGCTCTGTAATAAATCGTCAAAATTAATTGTGAAAATACCACAATGAGGCTGTGAGTACAAACGAACGATAGCATTTATTCCCATTGATTATTCTACAGTTAAAAGAACAAACAAAAAATACTGTTCAGATTAAATCAGAGCAGAAACAAGGTTTTGTTAAAACAAACAAGCAAACAAACTTACTAAACAATCAAATAAACGTTATTATATAATTGCATTGGCTTAGGATGAATTTGTTTTCGATTCCATACTATGAGGCATAATGGCAGTGAAATAGCAGTTTGTACCACACACAAGATAAGAAATTTAAATGGACATCCTCATAACAGCATTAATTAGAAATAAGCAAAGCTAGTGGGTTTAACGTATGTGAAAGCTTTCGCCCTCTAAAGGCTGAGGACAACAGATTTCCTTTTCAAAGAGCCCTCAATGCACTTAATGCACCACAGAGACTGAATCCGCTTTGTTACAGGAAACAACACAGTACTAAGAAAAGCAGAGGACAATAACCCTAAAATCCATAAAATTTTACTTAACACTGCTAACAATAAATGACCATTTTGGAAAAAATAAAAGGCACGGCAGACTTTGCTTTCAAAACACTTTTTTTCCATATATGTCATCTCACCTGGCAGTTCCATGAAAAAGAAGAATTCCTGCTAACTGCTCCACACATAGGTTCCTTAACCTTCATTAAACAGACACGTGTGTGGATGAGAGGCAGAAGGATGAACAGACAGAACACAAATTGCCCTCAATCATACATGAGATCTGTTCAGGTACAGAAAAACAAACAAACAATGGAACAAGGAACTGAGCATCTTCAGCAACCAAAGGAAGGGTTAGGAAGTGAAAACCATGGCCATTGGCCTAATTACACTTTATTTTTATTGTAGCTCCCATACATGAAAAGCTTATATATAAGGTTATGTATATATAAAATACTTTACCATCTGTAATACAATTGGTTCTCTCACTATAGCACAGGAATGACATGTGACTGTTCATCCCATTAGATGTCATCTACCAAAACTAAAGTTTATAAATAAATAAATATTCCCATGTAATCCGCTTAAAGCACCTATCCAAAGAAAAACCCTTCACCAGGCGTACTTAACATCACGTTGGAGTGATTCCTAGAGCTTTAGTCTTTAAGTGCATGAAATATGCAAAAAAAATATGCAAAAAATATGCAAAAAAGAAAAACCATAGTCTATTTTTCTCAAATAAAGTAAAACCAATGTTGGTCAAGTATAATGAAAGGCCTTTTAAATGCGCTTAACACAAACTGTCTGGTCCGTTTAAAGTAGTAAAGGTTAGGATTTTAATTATTTATGCAGGCACAAATACTGAAGCCATGCAATTCTTCTGGGTCAAATATTATTTTTGACCCATGATTTATACCTTTCCACTATCAGTAGAAAATCATGGCGGCTAACCCTCTCCTTCACCTGACAGAAAGCAGAGGCAAAGGCATTTGTTATGCTAACAAAATGGCAAACCATCAATACGAGCCCACGTTCTTTAAATTACATTCTGTACATTATTTATACTTGATTTGTAATTCAATATAAATCATAGATACACTGTACTATTACACTGATACACTGTGCTTTCATTTTAGCCCAGAAATGGTTTGTCAATTTTCCTGCCGCCTTCTGTATATGTACAAGGAAACATTTTTTAAATTAGTATATGAGTGTGCATTTATAATTCATGCATGCCTTTAAGATGCTTTGGTCATGCTATGAAGGTTTTAATGACCTTCTGTATAACCTGGCCACAGCCTGGGCAAGGAGCATGAAATTTGTGCAGCTTGCGGGCACAGGGGAAACAGGTGATCAAGTGAGCTGTGCGGCCGTGGATGATGTTGCCGTTTCGGGGCCGCACTCGGCACAGCTTGCAGGGTTCCATTATGGCCTCCGGTTGGCATTCCGTCTCCATGTCCAGCGTGTCCTGGCTGTCTCCCTCCGAGCTCTCCTGTAAGTGGTGGTGAAGCTGGGAAGGACCCTTTCCTTTAGACGAGGAAGCGGATGATGGGGGGATGTTTCTAGAGACGTGGTGCGAGGGGAGGACGACTGGGTCAGACACAGTCCTAAGGCAGTCAGGCATGTCGATTCCATCATCATCCTCCTCGTCTTCATCCCTCTCAGGACGTGAACTGCAGGCGGGGATGTCTGGCACAGAGATGGAGTGTACAAGACGAGGACAATCCTTGTACCAGTCTTTTTGCAGAGCCCAACAGCGCATACAGTACCGTTGAAGAGGGGTGTTAAATTTGCGGCACTCTGAACACTGCCACGCATCCTGCCAGAAGAAGAGGTCATTTGAATAAGATATGCCTTCCATGTATGTAGAATAGGGTTGGGCGATGTCTACCAAATTGGCATCAGACGATCTCTACAGTGAAACATCGTGATAGACGATGACATCGGGGGGGGTGGTAGGTAAGGCCGCTCCGTAGTATAGAGTCCATGTGATCGCGAATCTCGAAAGTGAAAGTAAAATGAGAGCACGCATTCGAAAGCGGTTTCAATGCCCTGCATATTAGTAGCGGCTCCCTGATGCCCGCAATTTATATACAGTATAATTACCCAATGATACAATTGTGAGAGAAAGTATTGAAATATTTTTTTTATCCTCCCATCTCGTAGGCTATTTATTCCCTTTAAGGGTTCCGTAGTACACTTAATTTCCTTTCCGAACACGGAATTGGGATGCGGCGGATTGCGGGGGGGGAGATCACGATGCTGGCTCAACATTGTGATGTCTGTCAGCCATCGGCGATGGCATTGTCCATCTGCCCAACCCTAATGTAGAACTATTTAATAACATAAATACAAAAATATAAAGATGATAAACTTAAATACACACAATTATTTAAATCTTATCCTAAAAATACAAATTTCATTATACAAAACTTCAAAAGTTTTCCAAAAAATATTAAGCAGCACAGCCTAATTATTTTAACAATTTTTTTTCCAATTGAAACAATATTTCACAATATTACTGTTTCTACTAGGGCTGTCGCGATAACCGCAATATCGCAATACCGCGCTATTGACGAGCAAACCGCAGAGGAATGCAAGAACCGCAGCAACCACGATTTTTGCGTGCTTTATTTTTTCGTAAGGTTATGCTCTTCTCGTTTTACACTTCATGCATGTGGACTAAATATTAAACAAGTTAGTAATGATAACAATGTGTACCATGCTGATTTGTACAGAGGCTCCGTAGATTTGCACTTAACAAGCCTAAACAGACAGTGAATGAGAAAGAGATCGACTGAGCGCGTGCGATTACTTGCGTCTGTCCTCCAGGCCGAGTCATATATATTTGTGAAAATCGGTTGTCATGTCCAAGGAAAGCGAAATCTCTGTCTTAGCACTGATGTATAGCTGGTCAGCTGAGCCTTCTAAAGTGGCGCTCAAAGTTAAAATGATTTCAACAGCGTGTTTCATTAGGTCTCTCTGAATTAATGAATCAGCGTTTTTGTACGTGTGGTTGAATGACAGTCACCACCTTGTGGCGCAACACTGTAACTGCACTGACTGACAGCCCGTCTAGAAAGCGTGTGTGCAGGTGGAAATATCAATAGAAAGTCTCTTGTCCAGTCAGATTAGAAGATCAGATTACAACTAGGCTAACTGTTATACATATAGGCTAACGATAGCCTAACGATCTTATTGTCAGGTTTATGTTCTGTTATGTGGACCGTTATTTTGTCATTCTCTTCTGTTTACTTCACTTCCTGTTTCAACGCTATTTGGTTTCGGTTTCATTGTCTTCTGAATATGACCTCGTTAGTTATATCATAACACATACACACAAATTATATATATGGCGGTAATACCGCATACCGCGCTACTGAGCCACTCAAAATTACCGCAAGGGAGATTCCCTCACCGCGACAGCCCTAGTTTCTACAGTGTTTTTGACCAAATAAATTTAGCCTTGTTGGGCATAAAATATTTCTTTCAAATACATTAAAACTAAAAAAGTTTGTCTAAAAGAATTTTTTTAGTGTATACATATTTTAGGTAGATAGGTCAATATCGGCATTGGCCATTTAAAAACCCATAACGTTCGATCAATAATAAAGAGCTGCAACTTTTTTTCTTATATACCTGTGTGGAGATCTCAGTATCAGTGTCATCACTTAAACACTGAGAGTCATCATCCTCATCTTCTTGCATCTGAAAGTGAAAATGAATTGCATTTAGCTGGTTATGAAAACTCTATCTGAAAACGAGTTAAAAAAGCACACAAAAAAAAAACAAAGAGAAAAAACAACATTACCTTCTTGGTATCTTTACTATCTTTCCCAGTCTCCTCTTCTTCATGTGGAGACTCCACGTCACTTCCCTGCTCCAGCACTGCCTCCTTCATCTCCACACTCACTTGCTCGCTCTCTGCCTCATTCAGGAACCAAAGATCATCTGTGGTGTCAGAAACGATGGCCGTATCCTCGTCCTGTCCAGGAGAGAGCTGTTCCCTCAGTCTAGTTGTGTGACAGTCTTACTACTCTGACTTGGCTCAATTTTTAAGTTCTCGTTTTTCTTCATGAAAACGGCCATATGAATTATGTTCTGGGTATCATGCCCTCTTACTTGATTGGTGTGAATATCCGTTGAACCATTGCTCCGGCGAGTGTAATTACTTCGCAGGTTACCCAGAAACCACCAGGGCAACCCAGAAAGGTCCCACTCTTCCAGAGTAACATCCAGCTTTGGCCGTTTGCAAGCAGACCTGGGCAAGCCGTCTGAGGAATCTGTAAGGACCAATATCTAATCTTAAATAACATTACAATTGCAAAAATGAGTGATAATGATGATATTCATTACATTGTCTTAAGTGTGTTTGGTGGTTCACACTGACCTTCATCAGGATCACGTGGCCTGCGTTGTGAGCAGCTCTGCGTTGCACCAGTGCTGGAACTACCAGCAATGAGAGCTTGTCCAGAGCTAATCGAACCACTGGAAACCTACACGGTGAAGAAAAGTCGAATTAGCACACAGCAATGGCATGACACTCGGTAGGACAGCAGTTCCTTCACAGCAGGTGCCCGTGGGTGTGGCAACAAAAGGCCACGTTCTCACAAGTAGAGGGAGGGGAAAATATAGGAAGTTTCTAAAAAGGTTGCTTAGAATGGGTAACAAATGATGGAGATATTGGACACCGCTGCAGCTACAAGTGCAAACAAAGTAGCAACAAACAAGTAGACATCTGGTATCTAAATTATATCTCATCAATAATACCAGTAATGTGTCATATTGAGAAAAAAAAGCCAATCCAAAATAACACTTTTCATATTATTAGCATAAATCACTCAAAACCTTTCTATTTTAAAGTCCTGTGATCAGCACAAATGCATGACGGTACCAGACACCTCATCCGTGACAGTTTTTCCCAACCCAAACTAACTTCATTCTGCCAAATCACAAACGTAACCCACCATGCCAATGGTGTTAAATGTGGATGGCTGTGTGACAGAGGGGACAGGGTAGAAAAGGGCCAGTGAACCGAGAAGGAACCTGCAGTCCTTCCGAAAGAAACAACGACGCAGAGAAGGAAACTCTGAGCGACAAACAGAGACAGGTACTCTGTCCCCCAGCAGCCAGGCCCATGCTGGTGGCTTCTCCGGAAGGACCACCAGACCAAGCCGGCCGTGGGGAAGTACAGAGACGGTGCCACTCTGTACAGATACGGCTGGTGGAGACAGCTGCTGCCCTCCCCTTCGTGGCAAACAGACTACTGATTGTGATGCAATTCTACACACAAAAATTGCATTGTAGCAAAAGCCTGAGCAACTACAATGGAAAGAAAGATGTGAAAGCTTGAGAAGGCAATCACAGACATTAAAGTAACATTGATTAGAGCATAATTAAATTTTTAAAAAGATAAAAGCTGACAAATGTAAAAGGCTGTGAGTACTTTATGCTGAAAAAACAACTATTTAACAACCTAAATCCCCTTTAATTTACAAAAAAAATAAAAAAAAATAAAGAAGAACGAACAGAAAAATACATCTAGTACCGGAAATGCCCTGCACAAAGCACTTTTGTCAGCCTTTCATTTAAATGGAAAACACAAGTAACAAAATTAATCAATAACTTAGATTTATCATGATAGGATTCATTAGATTTTCTGATCAATTGTTTGCCATGAAGAGGAGTAACAGACCCTGTTTCTCTTGTGCACCATGCTGTAGTTTTACCTGACCAGGATCTTCACTTGGAGACTCATTAGAATCCTTGCCGACTGAAAGATTCTTTGCTGCATCTGTATTTCAAATAAGACATAGTAACAAAACAAACAAAAGAAAAAAAACCTGCCCTTTATTCACCAAGCACACCTCAAGCACACTTGGCCCAAAAGTAATGCCTGAATCTGTGGTGGAAAATGCAAAACTATGCTCTGTGATCAAGTAACGTGTGCATTGTTTTACAAAAAATATTATTATTTTTTTTTTTTTTCTTTAACCTAGTCAAGTATTTAACCTGAAGTCAAGATTCTGTATGAAGATTGCACAGCACACTAACCTGGTAATACAATGACAAAGTTATGGGGCGGGAACTTAAAAAAAAAACGAACAAAAAAAGAACAAACAAACAAACAAAAAAAAAACTTTTACATACCCAATGTAGTAAACACATCACATTCAAACATGCACACAGACACACCTCAAAATGAAAGGTGGGGCTAATCAAAATGAGAGAAAGAAATAGAGTAAAAGGGCTAAATGACAGCATGACAAGTCATTCAAGATCATTCAAAATATTGCATCTCTAGGAGATCAAATTCAACAACAAAGGATGGACTTACCCGAATTGTTCAAAATAAACAAATTCCTCTTCAACATCTCATACACAGGACTATGAAAGGCAGAAAAGAAAGACATAAATACCTGAAATATGTTGATTTCTCTAAATAACACAAAAAGGTAAGGCAAGGAGCTGCATCAGACATAGCAATTAAACAGCTGGTATATATTTTCAGGTTTTCAGAGTTGGTTGTTAAAGGGGTAGTTCACCCAAAAAATCCGGTGTCACCATTTACTCACTCTCGTGTTATAAAAAAAACTTGTATGACTTTCTCTATTCTGCACAACATAAAAGATGATATTTGGAGAATGTTGGTAACCAAACATTTTTAATGACCACAGACTTCCATTTTATGGACATTTTTCCAAACATACTTTTATGTTTCAGAGAAGTCGTCAAACAGTTTTGGATCAACATGAGAGTGAGTAAATGACAATTTACTCACATTTTTGGTGAGCTATTCCCTTAAAGGGGTCATATGATGAGATTTCAATTTTTCCTTTCTCTTTGGAGTGTTACAAGCTCTTGATGCATAAAGAAGATCTGTAAAGTTGCAAAGACTAAAGTCTCAAATCCAAAGAGATATTCTTTATAAAAGTTAAGAGTTAACCACGCCTACCTAAAACACCTCGTTCTAAAATGCCCCCACATGTCTACGTCACGATGTGGGAAGATTTGCATAACACCACCCAAATGTTCACGCAAAGAAAGAAAACATAACTTTTATTCTTGTTGTAGTATTGTTGCTGCCGCCATGTCGTGAAGGCGCTGTGTGTTTCGTTGTGAAAGGGAAACTACTTTGTTTGGCCTTCCAAAAGAGGACGATATCTGCTTCGTCATGTCTGGAGCTGATCCGTACTGGTCGCTGAGGAAATACATCAACTTTGCGCTGTGGATCACCGGATAGGCTTTCCCGGTGGACGAAGCGGAGTCCAGCCCGGGGTCGTCACATGTGGTTGCCGCAAGCCCACCGGATGCTCCTTCGTCGAATCCGCCGGTCATGCCGTTCTCAAGCCCACTGGCATCCGCTCACTCAAGGCCGCCGTGTCTGATGCAGTGTTTTCTTTGTGAAAGCGAAACTACTTTGTTTGGCCTTCCAAAAGAGGACACGACTAGAAATCAGTGGTTAAGTTGTATTTACAACACTGTTCCAGAACATTTCAACCCAAATATACAGATGTGTCCAGCGCATTTCATGGAGGACTGTTTCCTGATCCTGGAAGAGTAGACTACAATGCCGGCTGTTCTGACTCTCAGTCTGTAAGTACCTTTTTTATATTTAAATAATTTGCCACTGACGATTCAAACGCGAGTTGAGCAGTGTAGAGTAGCACTTGTTGTTTGTCATATCGCCGATCACAAATGCAGACATGGTTTTATGTTTACGCGGCGCGATGCAATGCAATGCGTAAAAAGACAGTATAAGTCATTATAATCTGTAATTATGTCCCCACTGGATGCAACAAATGCCTCTTTTTTCGTTTATAATGGGTTTTAATGTTTTTGTCTCGTCGCTCCGGCCAGACAGGGCATCACAATATGGTAAGGGGCGCAACATTTCAGTCACACGCTTGAGGTATTCGACCAATCAGAGTACATCTCGCTTTTCAGACCAATGAGCTTTGTAAAAATCTACACGTTTCAGAAAGGCGGGGCATAGAGGAAAAACAATAATGTACAGAATGAGGAAAATAATGTGTTTTTTGAACCTTAAACCGCATAAACATTTCATTACACCAAATACACAATTTTGTTCTTTCTAGCAACATCATATGATCCCTTTAAAACAATTACCCACCGAACAGTAGTGTTAGTGCCCCCTTGTGTTAATTTGGAAACACCAATATCAGTTGAGAATATAAATTTTCAGCCATATTTGAGTGCATTTGTGTGTGTGTGTGTGTGAGAGAGAGATTAAGTGTAATTTATATTGGTCATCAGCCAACCAACTGGCTATCTAGATATTGTCAACAACTGAAAAACCTGACTCAAATGAGACATCTTTCTGTTTCTCTAACATTTAACCTAGTTATAAGCTCACCTGGGGTTCTTAACGGAAAAGCTCCCCACTTCCAGTAGCTCTCCGAGTGGGTCATCTTGACAGTGGACGATGTGCTGTCTTTGTTTGTCATACAGCTGCTTCATCATGATGTACTGACCCAGATAGTGCATGATCTAATGAAAAACACTGTCATTATTAAATGTACCTTATCAAGCGGTTCAAACTCTTAGCTAAAGCATAAATCAATCAGCAGAGGTCAGCTCATCCACACTCCTCACCTCCTTCAGGGTAAACAACTCCTCCCGAGCACCTGCTACTCTCAAGATATGCAGTAGCGGAGCTCTGGGGTGGACCTGCAGAAACAAAAAAGCCATGCGTTTAAACCTATGAAGCCTACTATATCATATTTGATACATGAACTTCTAAAGGCCTCTAAACTGTCAAATAATCAAAACTTTGCAGCAAAACCTGTTGCACACAACCACCTACTCACCTTCTGCCCTCTAATTGATAGTTACTTTTTTAGATAAATACTTTTTTAGTAAGTAAGTAAAAGGCCTTTTATAGCATAATTGTAAAAATGTCCACATTTAGGTTGTGTTACACATCTTTTTTGCTATGAAATCTTGAAATTGTTTAAAGTAAATGTAAGAATAACTTTTTAGTAATATTTCAAGACGAACATTTACTGGACTGATACAAATTTTACTGACTCGTTTACTGAATTATTCATACGTAATATTTTTTTTTTTTTTTTAATCATGTAGAAATGTAAATACCAAATATTATACAACAGGCTTTTGAGGAATGTTTAGTTGTACAGCTACCAATAAACATTGTATTGCATTATATGTTTGCCCCACACAGTTAAAATAATTGAAGTATCAGCCATATTATTGGAAGATACAGTGACAATTTATATTTATATGCATAAAAGTTTTTTTTTTACGAGTAAGAGCTTCATATTCTCACAATATCACTACATGGACCTGGGCCATAAAAGCCTGACATATTAAATATGACAAAACATAAAACACATATGCATTAGCTATTTAAAACTATATATTTGACTAAAGATTCAATATGCAGTATAATTATAAAAAAAACAAATGAAGAAACAAAGATTTTTCTTATTACTTCATACGTCAGGCTTTAAAGGGATAAATTAACTATGAAACCACAACAATGAAAGTTACATACTATATATAAAAGTTTAAAGTACATATCTACTGCTCACCTGAGTCCCTTCCCCTGGAAGAGTCCTGCATGAAGAGCTTGACCCCGTTAACTGAGACGATGATGATGATGATGATGATGATGGTGGTGGTGGTGATGACAATGAGGTCATGATTGACTTAAGAACTGTGAGGAAACACATTTATATTCAGAACATATTTATATCAACAAAGGGCCGTCTTTCCAAACCTAGAGCTAGTGGGCGTCTACCTAGACAGCATTTCTGGACATCATAGCTGCTTCCTCGCTCAATACAAATACAATGCATGTCAATAATATATATACAGTGTGCACCAGTGGTAACCATGTTCAAAAAAGAACAATCGAAACTAATGTATATTCCCGAGGGCGTGATATTGTAGCCGTCAGCTAATTACACAAAACAAACATTTCTATGCCATTTCACGCGCATAGGACATGCTGGAGACTAAAATGACTTTACTTACCATTATCCTAGTTCTGGCAAGTGGATAATAAGGTAAGCTGTGATAGTTGGCTGAAAAAACGTAAATTCTCCGAGGCTGAAGCAAGGAAGCTAGGCTAGCTCGCGCGCGACATTCAGAAACAAACGAGCCGTTAACGTTTAAACTACACCTCGCGTGATCGTGCTGGTAGTGCATTCACACTCACCGTGTTATCTGTGAACGATTACATGGTTTCCCGTTTTTAAAGAATCAGAGTTCGTGTAAAGAAAGGGAGAGGTGTGTGGGGTTTTTGAACAGTTGCAGTCCGTTGAAGTTGACGTGGTGTACGTCATCATCGGGGTTGCCAGACCTCACGCGCAGTTCTTCTTCTTCTTCTTCTTCTTTCTTTTACTGGCACCCGCACCTAACAGTGCATTACTGCCACCATCAGGTAGCTTGTAACGTAAACATTGATCTAAGCCAGTGCTTCCCAACCGGGGTGCCGTGTAAAAAATCATTTTTTAATATTTTTAATTTGCTAAAATGTTTTAAAAAAGCATCTATTATATAATATCAATTTCTGATGTCGCCAATAATTAGAGATACACCGAAATTCCGGCTGCCGAAAATGAGTTCACCGCTCAGGTTTCACTTTCACGTGGTGTGACGGGCCACACCCCTTATTTTGTTTTCGATACGATACCGATATTTTTCAAGGCAGTATCGTCGATATCGATTCGATACTTCTGCATTAAACTTTTAAATTATGAAATTATTAAATTACTAAGAGTAAAATGGGTAATGAAAACCACTTAACTTTATGTTTAAAACGCATTTTAACCCGTTTAATCCCACATTTTTCCCAGACATGAAAATATCCAAATGATGTGTCATTAGTAACCCTTTTTTTTTTTGGGAAAAGTGTGTGAAAATGTTTATTTTATGGTCAGTCACAATTGTAACCGGTGGGGTAATGTGTATACTGAATTAACATATTTCTGCAGTCTTAAAAATAGTTATATATCTTAGCCCAGCTATTTTAAACAGTTTGATCACATTCTAGGGTTACTATTATGCATAAAAACCCCTTTTACAACATTGATAGGAATACTGAGCTCAAATACAAAAAATACAACCATCAACGTATTTCAAAATTGTTACTTT